GTTTGTTCCGTGCAAAATTCTAAAAAATAATCCGGATCCAGAATACTGCAATGCGAAAATTGGCGAATGAAGATGATAACGAGAAAGGCATTTAAGAACAGAAAACGTGGCAGCGAATATATTAATATTTTTAGAGGTAGTTCAAAAGAATTGGACCGAGAAAAGAAAATTTCTCAGGAGGCATATTTAAAGAATATACTAGATGGGAACGGAAACCACTGGACAGGATTTTAAAAAATATGTTCATAGAAGGAAGGGTAATAAAGAGGATGTCCCAGTTTTTCGTGTAAATTCATTTCTGCCGATCAGGCAAAGCAAATATGTTTAATAAGTATTTCAGTTTGGTTTTCAAAAACAATACGAATCACCAATTAAATCAAGGGCCTTCGGTTGCAAATGAGTTTAATATTTAAATAAACGTTATACGGATTAAAGTAAAATCTATGAAAATTGGTAAGTCAAGAGGTCCAGACGACATTTCTTCGGATATAAGTAAACTAGGAGAAGAGGCAGTTTTACCATACCTAATTACACAAATTTACCTGTCCATGAACAATTCAAAAGTACCTGAAGATTGGAAATTAGCTTCCGTTGGACCAATTTTTATAAGTGGTGACAAAAACATATTATATAATTATAGGCTGGTAAGTCTTACGCCAGTGGTCTCCAAACTTATGGAGTATGTAGTTGCGAATTGCATTACGTAAGAATGGGAAATCAAAAATGGGTCTATGATGGTCAACGCGGGCTCAGGAGTTGTTACTCATGCGAAAGTCAGGTAGTCACGATATTTTAGGATCTAGCAGATGAAATTGACACGGGACGCAGTAGATATAGATTTTGCCAAAGCGTTCGATGTCATTCCACACGATCGGCTTGTCTAGAAATTCAGGCATCGATCCCAGGGTGGGGGCGTGGATTAGCGAGTTTCTGCGAGACAGAAAACAGAAAGTCCGAATCGAGAAAGAGTTAGCTTATGCAGCAATCGTTACGTCAGGAATACCGCAGATGACTTCTTCTATTCCTAACTTTCGTCAAGGATCTGCCAGCGCACTTCATCTCAATTGTTCGGCTATTGGCAGACGATTTCAAAATATATCGTAGTATGAATTCGCAAGAAGATGAAGAAATGCTGCAACGGTATCTTCATGCGTTGTACTACTTGGCGGAAAATAATGGAATGACCCTTAAGAGCTCTAAAAGCAAATCCATCACTTTGGAAAGGGTCATAATTACGTAGAAACAAATTACCGTTTAAATAACAACGTTATTCCGAGAGTTCACGTGTTCGTGCCTAGGAATCCATTTCGACAGTAAATGAAGCTCGAAAAGATCACGTAGATTTTGTCAGGAGAGTCTGGGGATCTCTTCACTTTGTAAGAAACACAAGAAAATGGCACGGCGGGATTCACTCGAAAACAGGCAATTAGTAACAAGACTGCGATTTGTATAAAGCTTATAGCTGTCATTCAGGTTGGAAAGAAATTAATCGGCGGATAAGTATTCCTACATACATCAGTAGAGGTGATCACAGACAAAATAAATTTAAGACCGCACATTGAGATAAAATTGATTAATTCTTGGCCAAAAGTAAAAAAAAAGTTTAAACATATCACACATTAACATGAATATAAGTATTCTATAATAATCAAAGCATCACAAATCGATATTATTACTTAATTTGGTTGTCCTGCGCGAGTGCGATTCGTGTGAAAGTATTTTGTTTCTTGTAGTAGTATTTTGGTGTTGAGATCGTAGTCGCAGTATGGGTATTGACAATGAAGGTAAGCTTTATTACTTCTCATAAGAAAAGGAGATGTAGTTACAGAATATTCGTGCCATGAACATGTCCTGTAACTGTTATCATATTTTAGGTTATTTTCGGGTTTACATTGGCTTATAACTAATATTCTGCTGTTTGCTGCGCTGAATATCTTTCTAAATTATCATTCAACTAAAGGAGATAATATTTTACATAATTTTAGCTGCCGCTTTACACGAAATTTGTGTCTTTTCAGGTGTGTGTCGTATCAATCCAAAATACCTATTCATTGTGTGACATTCAGCGGAGATAAAATAACGTAAGAATGTACAGTTTTCGATTATATTGTCAGTGCATGTTATGGTAATAATGTCTCTGGAGACCTTTTAAAGGGTTTGAAGAAATGAACGAAATATGGCAGGAAGGTCAACGAATTCTAAAGACGTTCTTATCAAAAAAATTTAGCTTTCTGGGGATTTCGTGTGCCTACAGAGCATATCGACTGAATCACATGAAAACAAATCTCAAACAGGGCGACCTCTTTGTACCCACGGTGAGAAATCTGAGAGGTCCAATCTTCACTTCACTTCACTTCATTTCACTACGACCCTTAAATTACTTCTTTCGATATTTCTCTGCTCTGTACTGAATGACATATCACTTCACAATGTAACACTTAAGTATCGCTACATAACGTACTAATCATAGTTAAGTCCTTCATTTACTTATTAAGACTTTAAATTTTTTTTCAAAACTGATGAACGCTTCAAGGAAGAGATTCAAAGGTCTATTCCATTCTGTTATCGTTCGATTTGTGAAAGAAAATTTTCCGACATACGTTCTCTGCGGTCCATATGGGATTCTTGCGCTGTCCTTGGCCAAAAGTCATAATTCGATAATTTGAAGAGAAAATCGCCTGAAATTTGGTACCCATATAGACACAATAAAGGTAATAAATGAATCATTATCTGTTGCATAATTTCAAAATGGCGGCTCTCGTTTACGCACTCTATTGAGGTGGGAAGAGATAGAAATTAAAAATTAGAATGAAAATTTTCTTATGAAGTTATTTATCTATATTTTCATTTATCAAGATTTCATATTGTTGTAAAATAAATATACATCATTCGTATTACTAATATTAAGTAATGTTCACTCTAATCACTAGAAAATATCTATTCCATAGTATCCTCATCAGATACTTCAACAATTCAACATTTACTCAATTGCTTTATGTGAATTTTATTCTGGTGCAGGGTAAATGAGCACTGTAATTCCTTAACGTGGAAGTTCCTTTTCTTATTATTTTGAACTATTTTCTGGAGGTCGACAGTCGAAATAATGGGATCGGACGTTTCCAAAGCTCTGTTGAAAATATCTGTAAAGTTGTGGATTCTGCTGTATTTCCTGGTGTGAGTCTCTGTGTCCTTTTTATACAATCTATTTCTGGATTCTGAAGCTTCTTCTCCCAGGTATCCAAGTGGCAGAATACTATGCTGAAGTATGTTTCCCATTTACAAGAACTTTGTGAACACTTACAAGCATAGGGAACCAATAAGAGTTTTCTGAATACTTCAGCAGTCTCCGTATAATACTTGACAAATAATTCAGGGTCAATGATGTATTAAAAAGACATGGCTATCAGGATAATCCTAAATCTCTTAATTAGATCTTCATTAACACCAGTAATTTCTGTCTCCGTCACTAAACGAGCCGCAATCATTATCTTTCACCTTATCCACATGAAGGTGCATTTTTTCCCAAAACAATTTTTGAATTGTTTTTTTTTCTCTGCAACAAACTTTTATTTGTATCCCATCTGACCTTCCATACTTTTAATTCCATTCGATATGCTACGGTGAAAAAGAGCTTCAAATATCGAATTTACCGTAGCGCTTAAACGCAAGTTTTTTTAAAAAATGGATTCAAATTTTTCAAAGAAAATTGCCATTTAGGACGAGGTTTTACTGTTTGTTAGTGATCTTAAATAATATTTCCTCTCTACAATTAGGAAAGAAAAAATTAAGGAAATACCAAAAACATTTACTTTGGGCGGTAATAGATGGCAGCTGGCAAGAGTGTGTGGCAAGTCCAAGTAGCTACCAGAGACCAAAGGAAATAGAAAACTAATAGGGAAAAGTCTGTGCCATTCTATAGCACCACTAGTTTAAATAAGCATCTGCAACTCTGCAGTGACATAATCAGAAATTGAACCATTTGATTGGATAACTGAACCCCCTCTCCTGTATCAGCCGCTAGCTGTCAGGTAGACAGAAATTTTATTCGTACAATAATTCAACACACATGATCTTGCAGTGCTACAAAAGTCAGCGCTTCAAAGGGGGTTATTTTAGATTTTCAAGGGTGGTCACATTAATGTTCCCCCCTACGTCGCATATATTTTTTACTGCTTTTTTTAAAATTAATAAATCTAAATGTAACTGGACTGTAAATTACAAAACTTTAATAATACGGTAATTAGAAAGCTAATTTTCGATGTCAAAAAGTAACTGGTTGCATCAACAATGTGTACACATGAATAACATTCACCAAAATAAATGTACAGAACTGTCGCAGTTATTTTCAAAGTATACTTATAAGTGATTTAAAGTCGGGAAAAGGATAAAAAACTACAGCCCAGAAATCGAAAAAATCTACAATTGATATTATTATTATTATTATTATTATTATTATTATTATTATTATTATTATATTACTATTTGCACGTGCACGTTTTTTTGAGCCCAGAAATAGCTACTACCACACCTTCACTACCATTATTTGAATTCAGAATAAATGATAGCCACTCCACACACTGTTGTTGACAAAAATCTGATGACCAGAAATGTTCGCTTCCGTGTAATAGAAACTATTTTGAATGGAAGAATGAGCTACAGATTTAATATAATAGACTTAATATAACGAAAAGATGGCAAGAGAAAACGTGCGCCGAAGCGATAATACTCTTACTACTTTTCAGAAATTCTGTATTTTTTAAATTTATTTGTTTAACCCTTTTTCAATGATTCGAAACTTTTAATAGTTATGAAAATTTCAGCTATGTGTGAAAGTGAAGTGCTCGTGCGTTTGAACTTTAATGAACGAGTATTTGAAGTTTTCAAAATACCGCGTAAATCTGTGTAAATTCTACGTTTATAGATTACTTCTGAGAATTGACTGCAGAGGCACTGCAAGAGCACTGAGTCGCGTTAAAAACTTCGTGGGACATGCTAGTTTCTATGGTGTCTACATTCTCTGGTCGATACAACACCCTGCTGGAAGCAGTGAGACGATAAGACGAAGACGGGGTGTTAGAAACAACCACCGTCGCCGTTGCTCTCGACTGTGATTGTCTCTTTGTGAACAAAGAGTTGGGTGACAGTGGATAATTATCGCGGAAGTTGCAATAACTATAAATATATGTAATTCTTGTGCGAAATTGTATCAATTATCTTAAACGTCAACCTTGCTCAGTAATGAATGGAGGAAATGGTGAAATAGATAACATATAGAAAGAAGCTTGTATCGGTAGCTTCCATATAAAAACCAAAAGAGTGGGTAATTCTTCCTTATATGAGCAAGGGTATACTTAAATTCTAACGAATTTCAAGATGTCGAAGAACAAGTTGAACCTAACCTTACCGCCTGGCTCTATTGAGCCCGCGATGCCGTTGTCTCCAGCCGTGCAGATCTCCACTGAGCCCCCTTCCGAGTAAGTCTCTAGTGGATGTCACTTTCTCAACTATTTTTCTATTGTTTTATTATGTTAATGTCTTGTCAAGAAAGGATACATCGTTGGTGTATTGACTGGTCATATAGCCGACATTGTTTAGTGTTTTCTAGCTTCAGCCGGAATATTGAAAATATTTTGTGTTTGTCTGTAGTAAATGGAGACTGTCACTCCACATGACTTTAGAAATGAGGTATTAAGAAACCCAGAAATTTACTTAACTACTGTCATCTTTTGAAGAGCAGACTTCAATTGTCCTGAGAAACATTGGCCCCTTAAAAAAGGCTACTTGAGACAGTTTTAAACTGCAAAGCAAGTCAATTTTAAAATGCCTAAATAGGCAAAGAATACGATTCTTAAATAATATTTATCGCAATTAGTATTTGAGGATATGACCAACGACTAATTTCAAACCTGTCATTAGCACGTTTAATTATTACTAATGAATTAAACAGTTTTGATGAAATAAAGTTGTGGAAACTAACAATCTATCGTATGCCATTCAAAATAAACTGAGCAGTGCTCTCTTTGTAAACAACCTTTTATTTAGTTGCTGGGAAAAATTTCTAATCTCATCTACCCCACCTGTTAGGGCAAAAAGGCGTGGCTATTTTCCTGAAATTAAATAATGTTCTAATAAATAAATGCAAATGTTAATTTCAAAATCATCTTATGTTTCTTAAATGTGCTTTAGAGATTATGTATTAGTAACCTTTAGTATGGGAAAGGAATTGACATAAGAATCACCAACATCAAAAATAAGTTCTACAAAAAAGTAATTATGAGGATAATTATCTGCCCCTGATAAGAGTCTGAACTTCGTGAAAATGTCAGTATTTAACTTCTCTGTAAATCTTTTGCTTTATTTCTGAAATCTTTTCCTCTTAATTATCTAATTAACAACAGTTTTCATAAAGTTATTAGTGCCGTGAATGGTTTCTTGAACAAAATAAGTTATGCATGATTTTATTCTCTTTAAATGGTTTATAAAATTGCTCTTTTCTGTGTTGTTTTAGCCGTGATTGTAATGTTTGTTCTTGGGTGTGTGAAGATATTTTTCTAGTTAGGGTATTCTCTTTTGAATAAAGTTGAATTTCAAATGAAACAAATTTATTTTTGTTATTGTATGAAAAGGAACATTATATATTTATAGTATATTTACTTACTTGTTTCGTAGGACATTGAACTGACAGATATATTTTATCTAGTGCAATTCATGATATAATTGCTACAATCATTGACTCATATTGCAGAAATAGATAGTATATAAAATAAAATGAACTAAATTTCTTTTACAACATTATATCTAATAGTGAAGACCATTCTTAAACTTTCTTACGGATTCACATAAGCTCAATTCTAAACAAGATTTTGTTCATACAGGATTATAATTCTGTTCCATTTATAATATGATGCGACTACTTCTCTCTAAATTTTGTAACCCTTTGTATGAAATATGTATGATATTTTTGTGAAATGAATTACAATTGATTTCTTGTATTTAGTGCAAATGTTTTTACATATCCTTGCCCCTTTTAAATGTGTTTTGTAATTTTCTTTTTACTTACAAAGAAAATCATTATTAATTTGATTTCAGAATAGCAAATTAAATTCACTTTATAATTCCTGTTATTTGTTTCTATATATTTTTGTTTTTATAAATGTTCAGTATGTTTTACAAAGAACATAGTAAGCATGATTATAGGAGGATTTTTTTCACAATAATAGTAGTAACAATTTACTACATCCAAAAAAGCTAATTATAACAATCTATTACATCCAAATAAGCTCTATATAAATAGCATATTACAGTGTTTGCAGAGAATAATATTATATTTTCTGTCCAGAAGCAATCTAAGGCAGTACTCACTCTCTGGGTCTTTGGAAAATTAGATGAAAAATAGGGTTCTGAACCCAAGAACAATTTCATTATTAATTACTTTATTAAACTTGTATGACCGAATAACATCATGTAAGAAAATAAAAATGTAGGAAAAACAAAACTATTTAAGAAATAAATGTAAAGAAATTAATTTTCTTTTTCTTTTTTAATCTATTTTAATAGTAATTGAAATATTGTGTACGTAAACAAAAAATTCCTGTTGGCACTGACTTTCTCTTGAAATGGCACATTAGTTTCTGTTCTCTTGAATCAGGGCTAGCTTCAAGGTTTCGCCACATCCTCTTCCCAGCTGGTGTCAATCGGCGCCCAAAACATCAGGTCCTCTCGCCATGCCCGTCGCACCTCTGAAGACCTTCCCGGTGAAGAGAAGAGCACCTTCTCGTGCTCCGAATATCGCGTAGGTCAAAGTGCCTTTCCAATCTCGCCCATAATATCCCGGCCCCCTATCACTGACCCATTGTTCTCGATGAAGGTTTCCTTTCAGGCCCTGTCGTATTACGTTCCGTATATACCAACATGTACGAGAAAGTAAAATACTGTACAGATCTCGATAAAATCTGAGGTTAAATTATTTTAATTTCACCGATTTCATCGAAACTCGGGAAAATTACACATAGTGGAAACTGTGAATGACATTATTTAAAAATTTAATTTTCAATAATAGATTCCATTGAGAACATATTGTAGCTGCAGGAGAGCTTTCAAAATGTTTTAAGCGTTTGTAATTTTCGAAATTTAAGAGATGTTAAGTGTTGCGTTCTTTTTACGAGCATACTACGCTCTATTCAAGCAAAAATTGTACAGAAAATATTTTAAGAGATCTTTGTGAAACTTACGGAAATTCTTCGGGGTTTCGTTGTAAAGTACCCCCAAAATTCGAAGATTAATTTCGAATTTATAAGGCTTTGTCGAACGAGATTGGGGGAATACTATTTTCTGGGGAAATCCGATATATGTTTTAGGTTCTAGCATGTGTTCAACAGTAGAAGAACAAACGAGTGGTGCTACAGAATGGACTTTCTCGTATAAGTTTTCTGATTTCTTTGGTCTGGGCTGGCATTACGCTCTCGTCCCATCCTCTTGCCATCTGCCATCTATCACCGCCCAGAGTGCATTTTTTTTGGTTTATTTTCTCAATTTTTGGGTTTCTTAATGTTAGAATTTAAATATTCAAGAATATTAAAGAAGAGTAAATCCTCGTCCTGTATAGAAATTTTTGTTGAAAAATTTAAAGCTGTTTTTAAGAAAATATTGCTTAAACGTTACTGTAAATGCGAAATTTGAAGCTCTTTTTCACAGAAATCTTTTGTTTTCGAAAAACTTTATGGGAAGTCATTTGAAGCACTTACACTCGCAAATGCAATAATGTATACAAATCGCGAGAAATACACAAATTAAAGACGTGAGTGAGATTTAAAAATAATTGCTTTTGTGTAATTTGTGAAAAAACAAAGTAATACAATAAAATGGCTTTTAAATCATCTTACACAGACCATTTCGCACTACGAAAAGATTGAAGAAAAAAATTGGAGCCATTTTTGAGAAAATGGCGTTTGAGCGTTTAATATTGTACTATTTCACAAAATATTGCGTAAAAACGACTAAAATTTTGGAAGTGTGGAGGAAAATGAAATTACTTGAAGGAAAAATCTCTATTTTCGATAGCAGGAGTAACCCGAAAAGGTTTCAAAGTTTTGAAATTTCGAAAATTCTGAGTTAACAGTGAAAAATGAACTTACGCCATCTTTATAAGTATTTTACTCGATTTTTTCAAAAAATTTAAAGCAAAAAATATGGAGCCATTTTTAGAACATTTTGAAAATGTCTTTGGGGCTTGTAAAGTACTACCGCCAAATTTTAAAGAATCATTTTCAAAATCGCAAAGCTTCGATTCGAGCCAGTTCTACCAGGGAATATCCATTTTGTAATAAAATCCTACATATGGTTTAGGCCAGGGATGTCCAACTTGCAAGGCCTCAAGGGCCCCAACCAAAACCTTTAATTTGGTTGCGGGCCATATTTTCATTATTCGAGGGATTCACACGTGACTTCCCCAAAATATTGATTACTTCCCGGCTCTTTATTTTTTTTTTAATCAAAAGCGGCTTTGATCCTAGTAGAACGCGCGTGCTAGGCGCCCGACTTATATGAAAGGGAATTTTGCTTTTGACTAATACACTTTCGCGGGCTACACAAATGGCACCGCTGGCCGCATGCGGCCCCGTGCCGCCAGTTTGACAACCCTGGTGTAGACGCTAGTTGTGTTTAGGCAGACGTTTTGCCGTCAATCGATTTTTCGGTATCAAGAACCTACAAAACATGTTTTTGGACTGTAGCACGTGTTCTATGATTTTTTTTCCTAAATTTAGCAACTGGATTTATCGAAGTTTTCGTTATCAGGGCCCAGCAATAAGAGTTTTGCTTCTGAAATTCGCAGTTTTCTCCACATTACATAACTTGCTCTACTGCCTAAGCGGTAACGAGGATGTAAAAAACAACTGTTTCCGGTATCTACGACTACAGACAAGAGCATTGAAATAGAAATATAACGTCGATTATTTGCAGCATTACATAACTAACTATTGCCCTACTTCATATCCGCATGTGTTACGTATAAGTGAAATAAAATGCAGGCTCGAAATCAGTTTCAAGTTCACTCACCTAGAGCTGTACCGCTACACCACGGAGTTGCTCTGTCGTAATATTCTTGGACTGTCGCTTACAAATGTAATTGTCTATTCTGAGTATGTCAGTATTAACAAAACGCAATTTTCTAAAAATATCCGAGAGTTCAGCGAAAATTAGACGTACGGTATTTTGATAAGTACCTCCAGTTTTATCTGTCGAAATATTTGAACTAGTGATGCTTCAGATTAGCTCAGTCTTTCTCTTACTAGCTAGTTTTCTAATTTCTTTGAAGTGGACTAGCTTTTCGGTTTTGCGCCATCCTCTTGCGAAGTGACGTCAATTGCCGCAGATTTTTTTTTTTTATTTTTTCTCAATTTTTCGTTTTCCTAATAGTAGACCCGAAATATTACTTTAAGAATATCACAGAAGAGTAAAACCCCGTGCTATAAGG